AAAGTGTTCCATTCACTCAAATACATGTACATTACATACATACTATGTATCACATACCATTATGAATGCTTCAGCCCATCCAACAAGTACAGAAATTATATAAAATGTTCCATTGTTTGAGTTCATCTTGACACATCCTAATAAATACAAAATAGAATAATTGAATGTACATAAAACAAGGTCTCACTGCTTCTTGATTATGAAAATAAGTGTAATTCACTGTATTAAGAGAGCGAGACAGAGATAGTAATTTAAGTATACGATGCTGATGCTACACTTACTTCTTCAAATTAGGCATTTCTTTTATCATTAATTGGTAAGTATTTGTCTTTCCATTCTCCTGTACAATAAATGACACAATAAATTACTGACCAAAAGACATATCCTACTCTCTTTACATGTACATGTGTGTATATATATGTAATGTACTATAGTGTGCATTGTGTCTTACCACAACGTTTGTTAGCATGTGTTTCCGTTCCCACAATATTTGCCAGATATTTCAGCAAGTGCATTTGATGGGACCTCAACAGACAATGCAGTTATGCCTATAATAATATTGTAATAATAACAATGCTGATGTATACAGCTGCTCACTTGCGCTAACGCGAGAAAGAGTGAAGACATGTGAGACTGAGAGGTATACCTAGAGAAGAAAAAAGAAAGAGCAAGAGTTAGACATACAGTATACATATACATGAGGAGGAGAGAAAAGCAAAAGAGAGAAAGAGACATCAAGAGACAAAGATATACAAAATAGGTGTCAATTAAGGAACACAAAAAATGAGGCAATGAATACATGTATTTTTAAAAAGGGAATAATTTTGTGTTATGAACCTATAGTAACATTACAACATGCATTATGCAGCTTTACTAAACATTATAATACCATGTAGCAAATAATACTTAGACTACATGATTAATGACTGTGGAACTTCAATGCATAAATCATGAGGAATCGTCTGAGACCATACATGTACAAGTAAACAATCACAATGACTACCATAGACAAGGCACTCTGGGCATAACTGTTATAATGGAGATTTCAATTGCGAGCAGTTACACTATTAGTGATTTAATTTATAAAACTTTCAACAAAGCATTATTTCAGTTTAAGTTTTGCTACTCAATAAACATTCTTGATAAGGCCTAAATGTTTTTTCCATGCTAAAAATTCATCCAATACAGGCATGTAGCATAGGTAGGTAAAGCAAGATTATAGGTAAAACTAAATCAGATACAATTAGACTGTATCAGACCCATAAGTTGATTATTGTACAATGACAACACAGTATAGACCTGTATAACAATTTCCAGGCCTGGTGGTCTCAAAGTAGTTCTAAAATGAGGACAAGTAGTGTGGTACCAATAGTATCTTCAATGTTCAAAGTACACAAAATTTTACATGCATTATGTAGCCTGGATTAGGCTACAAGGAATAAATTGAACAAAAATGTAAAATTGAGTATTGCATCATCATTACCATTCAATTCTACTAGAAAATGCAAAATATTAAGGGCCCATTCCATTCAAATATATTACTAGATGGATCATGAGGTGAAAAGCAGGCGACAGCTACATGTATAGCTCCATAACCGTCATGTTAGCAATTATACATATACATTTATTATTGACTTATTATGCATTACAATTGAAATATCATCTGAATGATGACAAAGCATGATGTGGCACAATATTGCTGATGCATAGTACAGTTCAGGCTCAGACATTATTTACACAATTGAATACATGTACAAACCAGGTGCTAGGCTGCAGGAAATTATCAGAGGTGAAGACTGAAGTTTTCAGCATACCATCATCTTTATTGCAACCTTCATGTGGCTTGCTCCGATGCACAATGGCATACAGTACTAAAGGTCTTCTTTCCAGCAGCCATTCTTATAAAGAAGGGGTTAAATTTAATACATAACTAGTTAATAACCGGAACTTTTACAGTCATGTGTGATGGGAGGGTTCCGAACTTTTTCTATCTAATGTGATGGGAAAAGTGTACGAACCGGGTGTTGATTTCCCATCTCCTCCATTAGTGAGGCTGTACTGCAAGGACTTCGAAGGATATTTATGGAGATCCAAGAGGACGCTTACTTGTGATATACCTACCGTTTCATATAGAAAGTGTAGGACTACCTGCAGCAAGGTTTTTACTTCTACAACGCTATTTTGCAACGAGTTATATATAGGTACAACAAATTTTTCAATTTCATTTTTTGCCCTTTTTCTGTTGTAACAAACTCATGCTTCATGGATTCTAACCGCTCTAACTAGTATCATTCCATATGCAAATGAAAGCTCTTTCATATGATTATAAAGATCTTGTATCTTACTCTAGCTTGTTTTCAAAAAAGGGATTATAATGACAAAAAATACATTTTATGGTTATAAAAGAGCCATAACATGAACATAGTAAAATTATCTATACAATAGAAAACAGAATTATTAAGAGGAAACATTAGGCTTCTTGATGCATTAATTCCACTTGCATAAGAACACTTGTTCGCGAGATATTGTTTCTAAGAGAAAAAAAATCAAGGGGTAAATTGTGACAAAAAATTTCAACGAGCCTCTGTCAGCCTAGCAGCAACACAAATGAATGGAGGTTGGGCTACGCCCACGCTTCCGTTTCCAATCCCTGTCATTTAATATCTATGGTACCGGGTGTGGCTGGTATTTTGCAAGAATGGCATCTAAAAGTGAGGGCCACTATTCTCTTCTCTTTGTATCTCTTTCATTCATTCTTTGTCTCTCTTACTGTTTCACTTACTTTACTCCTCTGTATCCTTATTCTAACTAATTAATTTCTATTCTTATTTTTATTTCCGGTACTCTGAGTTATACCTCAGTTTACCCTCATGCAGTACTGCTATTTACCGTCTCATTTCTAATCTCTGCTTCTCTCTATTAATGTGTACTGTAAATTTCTGAAATAAATAAATAAATAACTTATCACTATATTACTGTTACTCTGTTACTGGTACCTCTTGTTCTCTATAGACTATCAACCAATGGAGAGAGAGGAACACTCCACAGTAAAGGTAGGAGACTACCTATATATGTGGGGTGGGTACGGGTATGGAGTACACTATGATGTGATGGAGGTGTATCACTTACCAACTGGTGCTTGGGACCAGAAACCTACTACTGGTACCCCACCACCAGGTACCTGTGGCTATTCAACCATAGCTATAGGGAAGGACATATATTATTTTGGTGGACAAGGTGTTGATGGTTATCAAAACAGCTTACATTGTTTCAATGTGGATTCGTTCAAGTGGAGGGAACTCTCTCCTTCTAGTTCTGATCATTGTCCAAAGATGAAGGCCTACTGTGGAATGGTATCAGCTCATTTTGACGGTGAAGACTATCTTTTAATAATTGGAGGAGATGGATCATCTTCTATCAATCCTTCAAAGCAACTTGATGCTCAGTATTCAGCTGGTGGTAGATGTAATGAGATACATTATTACAGGATTT